GACCTGGTCTCCAAAAAAAAAAAAGAGCTGGAGATTTAGCAAGGTGGTAGAATGCCCCTGAGTTCAATCCCCAGTAAAGTTAAAGGAGGAGAAGAAAAAGAAGCAATTCACCAATCATGGATTTGCATAAGCACTGATGGAATCACAAGAAGAAATTAACAAATCTACAATGAGAGTGGGGGTTTTAACTTAAAAAACAAAATGAGAACAAGAGAAAAAAGGAAAATTATAGAATAATTATTTAACTTGCGAACTTCCAAAAAATTCTAAATAAAATGCTAGCATATTATACCCTATAAAATAAAAGATTGTACATCTGTACATGTATATATATATGCATGTTTTTAACTATATTTTAATATTTATTTTTAATTATACTCATTAATCACATTGTAATATTAAGAAAGAAAAACATACGATAATCTTATATAACTTACATGAAAGGCATTAAAACATTATATAAAATCAGTCATAATACAATTTTTAACTTAAGAAATGTTAAGAATAGACAGAAAGTTCTTAACTTAAAAAATATCTACTAAAACCTAAGCAAAAGTTCATACTTAAAGGAGAAACTTTTAAGAGTACATATTAAAGACAAAATTTAAGGGTAATCTCCATCACTGTCACTACTGAACATTGTAGAAGTTCTACCCAAGGCAATAAGAAAGATACAGAAGCCATAAGTAATTGGATAGAAAAGACAAATTACTGCTATTTTATGATTACTAAATTAAAAGTTCAAGAATATTTACATGTAGACTTTTAAAACTAATAGGAGAGGTCAGGATGATACTAGATAAAAGAATAAAATTTAAATCCAGGAATATTTCTATGGACCAGCAAATAACAAATTAGAAAATAAAACAAGAAAAAGAATATCATTTAAAGTATTGACAAAACCTATAGAAATAATTATAGCAAAAGTTGTATTAGAGATTTATAGGAGTAATCACCAGTAGTCCTGAATGAAAAAGACGAGAAGATCCAGTATTATAAAGATGTCATTATAAATTGAGTGCAATTTCAATAAAAATCAACAGAATTATGAATGTGTGTGCAAGTAGACAGACTAACATTTATATAAACTCGTAAAACTCAAAAGAAACTTTTAAAAATATGAATGTAATCATAAGCAATTATTTTGTGCTTCCTTACATGGTAGGGACTATTCTAACATTTTTCATGCATTATCTCCTCAATTACTCTTGGAGTGTTTACCATTATTATTTGTATTTTATAGCTGGTAAGACTGAGAAAAGTTAAGTAATTTGCTCAAGGTTAGTCAGCTAGAAAATCACAAATGCTCATGGAGCTCGGGGTAGGATTACATTTTCAGAAATCCACACCTACATACGTATAGAACATTTTTGAGAAAATCCTAAAATCTAGGGAGAAGACAGGTTACATTACAATGAAATGACAATAATCTGTGATCAGACTAGTAGCAATATATTCAAGAAGACAATGGTGAAATATCTTCCAAGGACTCAGGGAAAATAATTTTGTTTAGAACACTACACAGAGACAAACTCTCATTTATAAGAGCAAAAAAATTTTAAAAATTAAAAAAAAAACACGTTCAGGAATATGAATATTTTACAACATGCCAAATACCAAATTTTTTTTATAAAAAAAAAGCTTCTAAATTTCCATTGGCATGAAGAAAAATGAACCCAGAAGAAAGGAGTAGGTTGTCAAAAGTAGCGGCCACATAAGTGCCATGAAGAAACACAAACATGGCAGAAACAGGTCTTTCTCCCCCTCACACTAGCCAACACCTCGAAGAACAACAAAGGCCCATATTGGCAGAGCTCTGAAGGCAGAATTTGCCTAATCTACTTTAAATCTTGCCTTGTACTGGAACTATTCCAGAATCCCATAGGGTGCGTAGAACTCCTGTCTAGCTGGAAAGTCTCCATAGAATTCTGAATACTTCTCACATGCAGAACTGGTTCCCAAGGAAAGGTGAGCTGCCTCTGACTAAGTCTGGAGCAATTTTCAAAGAACGAAAGAAAAATAATAGTGGGAGGTGAGAGAGGTAGAAAGCAGGAACATTTTGCAAATAATCAAAATATTAGTTCTTATTAAAGCATGAAATATTTTTCCTTCCCCTTTTTATCTACTTTTTCCTTATAGTTAAAATAATAATAATAGTAATAATAATAATTATTATTATTATTATATCACATGTTCAGGGAGAAAGTAGACAGTAGAAATTGAGATACACAGACTTTTACCACTGACCTGAATTCAAGATTCAATTCCAGCATTAGTAGCTATGCAGCTTTGGGCAATTTACCCCTCTGATCCTAGTTTCTGAATCTCTATAATAAAATAATAGCAGTACTTACCTAAAGAGTTTTAAAATGACATACTATGGTGTCAGTGCTTAATGCTCCATAAATATTAACTAGTATTGTCGTAAAAAAAAAAAATTGAGAAACATAGCCAAGCACACACACACAAAAATCAAAAGCACCTGTAATCCCACCATCCATAGTAATGCATATAATTCCAATTTTTTAATATATTTTCAAAAAGAGAAATTATAGTGCTTTCTAATCTATAGCTAGCTCTATAAATTCACTCCCATATTCTAAGCATGTCTTATACAGTTCAGTATTTTTGTACAACATGATGTTTAAAGGTCATATGGTATTCCTTTGGGTTGTTTTATTTCTTAAGGACCCCTACCCTCCTTCCTCTCTGCAGGTACCATACTTGAAGTTATTGCAACTCATCTGACCTGGCTAGATAGGGGCTGCTTGCCTTCTATTAGCTAACCATCCAAACCACTTACTCCTTAGTTCAGGGACCCTTTGTAGCCTTCATGACACCCCAGCATCCACAGCAGTCTATCGTCAGGTTGCTAAGCCACCTCTGTAATGCCAAACCACCCAGTTTAACAAGATTCCATGAGAGGAGCAAAAGCTGAACAAGGCAGAAAGACAGTTTTTCTCCATATAGTATCAGGTATTAAATACAAGATTAGAAATTCTCAGAGGGAAATTTAAAAAAAAAATGTCAGGAAGAGGAAGAGACTGAAGATTCTTATCTGAGTACATTGTTTTTCTAAGCAACAGGGCCAAACAAGTTTAAACCTCAAGGGCATTTTTTTGAATGGAGTCACAATGCTTCCTTATCAATAAAGCTTAGAAACCACAGTAAAACCTTACAGTTTCACAGAATGGAGAACTGTCAAATTGATCAGTGGAGATAAGTAAATTATATTCTGTTTTAAATGTTATTTTACTTTCAATGAAATTTTTTTTAAATTTTTACTTCTAAATGGTTCAATGCCTTGACCTGTTTTCACAGGTCAATGTTGTTCACAATCTGATCTACATTTGTTACAATCACATTTATTGTTTGTACAGAAAGGGGAATGGCTAAAGTTCTTGACAAGTGTGTTCTCCTTACACACAATAAAATTTGAACATCACTCCCTGCATTCCTGTTCACACAGTGAGCAAAGCTTTTTCTTCCAGGTCATGTGGAAGTAAACCAGGCTCCGGCTGCTTCCCCTACTCTGATTCTGAGTGAGTGAACAGAGGTTTGCAATATAATCCAAATCAATCCCTAAAAAGAATATCCCAGATTCTAGACTCCATTTTCCCAAACCCATGCGAGAACTAGCAAGCTTCCTCTAAGCACCCAGAGAACCTAACTTGTCATGGAAACACTGATTCAACCATAATAAGAACCAGCATAAAAACCACAATGAACTAAACATGTCTTCCAGCCAATCAGACTGTAGTTGAAGCCACAGCCTGGGCATTTAATAAATGAGTTTTTTTTTTTTTTTTTCTTTGTGGTCCTGCTCATTTTAGCCTCTTCCATAGCCTTGTTTGCACAACTTCTATTTAGAGAAGGGAGTGGAAAGATGCGGGCTAGCAAGGCAGAGACCTGCAGATGGGTAAGGCCAAGCTGGAATGCTAACAAACGCTGCTCAGCCCGGCCCGGCCCGGCCCTGCCCTGCCCTGCCCTGCCCATCAAGCAAATTAAAACTTGTAGCCTAGAGGCAGCTTTAATAGCTCGTTTGGGGTAGTCTAAAAACAAGTTACACTTGCTTCTTTCTCCTACCAAAACAGTTGAGTGTGGACCAAAGTCTGCTTTCAAGAGGCAAGGTTCTGCACCATATTTTTAGCAGGCAATCTCTTCTTCTCTTCTTTTTATCATTCTTCCTGTTTCTTTTCTTTCAGGCTTAGAAAGACGAATTATATGAAGTGTTTGTTATTATCATTGGAAGAAAGCAGAGTCAGTGGAGAGGTTAAAAAAGAAGATGCCAAACCAACAGAAATAGTAAAATCCTAAGAAGGAATAGATTTCAACTACCCTTACCCCTCAAAAGTTCAAATCCCAAATTCCAGAGAATGTTATTCCTGCAGGAAATATTTGGACAAGTGTGGCGGTGCTTGCGGCTGCGTCCCCTTGGCCTGGCTCCTCGCTTTGGGGGGACAGGATAGGCTGAAGACTTCAGTAGGGGTCTAAGTCTGGGGGCCACGGGCCTCCCAGGAAAAGGGTAGGAGACAGTAGTGCAAAGAACAGGGGCCAGAAAGAAAGTGAAGGGTCCTGGACGGAAGAGATCCACAGCCCCCAAGGAGGACTGAAGGGCAGGGCCACTGTCCTCTGTCTGGGAGACCCGGGATCCACGCGCGCGCGCGCGTGTAGAGCCCCCGGCCCCGCTCGGGGAAATGAATCTAGATGCTTTTTGGTGCTGTTGGAGTTTGCTTTCTTTAGACTCGGACCCAGAGCACAGGTGAGGAGGGGAAGCCCCGTCGCGGCCCACCCCCTTGCCCGCCCGGGGCGCCTACGGGGCAGCGAGTGCAGGTTGAAGGAAGACGGGGACGCAGCACGTCGGGGCACCGAGAGAGCCCAGGAGTTGCCCGAGTCCCGGGATCCCGCCCACAAACTTTCCTAGAGAACTGAGAGTGGCCCCACCCTGGAGAGGGGGCTCCCAAAACTTCCCCGTCTGTTCCCCGGGGCTGGTCACTCACGCGCAGCGTAGCTGGGGCTCCGACTCTAGCCGCCGCCATCCACACTGGGAGGGGTGGGGGAGGGGCGGGGCGGGTCCGGAGCCCGCGGAGTGGCAGGGAGGGGAGGGGCTCCCGTCCCCGCCCCTCTCCTCCAGCCCCGGCTGGATCCCCTTTCTCTTCTTTTCTTTCCCGCCTTGGATCGATCCCCTGAAGTTTTTCCTAGTGTCCGATTCCCCAATTTGCCTTCCTGCGTGTGTCTTCAATCTCTGAATCTCTAGACCCCAAAAGGAGGAGAGAGCGCTCACTCCTGAAAAAGTGTGGGGGGGTGGTGGAGAGGGGTAAAGGATTACTTTGAAAGTCTCTGCTGAGGGCCTCTTTTCCCTTCAGGTGGAACCCACCGTGTTAGCAGGGTACGATGAAAAGTAAAGGTAGAACCCCGCCTTCCTGGGAGCTGTCAACCCTTGGCAGGATGGCTGGAGACAGTTGAGTGACAGGCCAAGCTGTGTGGCTGCAGCCGGAGATAAGTATCTACTACATATACCTCGGTGTGCCGCCTTTGGAGTGCAGAAGCCAGGAGAAAAGGAAGTCGTCCTCCCAAGAGAGGTTTTAGAGTGGATTCTAGACCTTGCTCCGTTGCCCGCCTACAGGTGACTCAGAACTAGTCTCAGCCTCCTCCTCAAGTGGGCTGCCTCCCTGGAAGAGAGAATGAAAGGAGGAGCCCCTCTTCCCAACAGACCCGGCCCCTTTTCCTGGAAGGGAGACTTGAGCTGCGTTAAACAGGCTCCGAGGGGCCAGAAAACGGAATTCCAGAGCCTAGGGCATGGTCCTTTGAGGGCTGGCAAGATTGGAAGGTTTAAGTGGGGAATGTTCGGATGGGAAAGTGGAGCTGGGCATTGAAGCAGAAAACAGGAACTCCATGAAAATGTTTAAGCAAAACAGTATTTTGATCCATATAGTATCCCATTCACTTTTGATTTGCCAGAACCTGGCATATAGTAGGTACCCAGTAAAATCTTCATAGATTCAAAATGGCAATTGAGAAATAGATTAACAGTCTGCAAGATGAACTGCCTGGAAAGAGGGGAATTGCACCTCAGGAGAGGAGTCAGGAGGAGCTGATGAACAGCTCAAATCAAGTGCTATTTGGATGGTGGAAAGGAAGTGGGGGGGGGGGATTCTGGCAGATTCTCACAGAACACTTCCCTGCCTTTCTATAGCAGTGTGATTCTTTATCTTGCAGGTCTAGGCTTTTTTTTTTTTTACCTTCGAGTGTCCATGAAATGGAAAAGATTTAAGTACCCTGTTCAAAAACCAACCAGTGTTGAGAACCCCTGTTCAGGGCTATGAGGGAGGAAACTGACATTCAGAGAGGCCAAGGAAGCCTGAAGTCACACTGCTGGGACCGATTTAGGATACCTTTATTCTCGGATAAGATTTCTAATTATTTATACTTAAGACACTCAAGCAAACAGGAAAAAGGCCTCATGCCCTCCTCACCTCCCCATTTCCTCCAGCTACCTTCCCAGTGATGCTCTAGAGTTGAGGAAGGGCAAGTGAGAGTCTGTAGAATAGGAAGTCAACTCACTGGGGTCTCTTCAGAGATCTTCACTAAAACCAGACAGCACTAGTCCCAGTCAGACACCTGGGAAGGAGCTGAGAGAAGTGGAGAGAGAAAGAAGAGCTGGGGACGTGGGAGTTGGAGGAAGAGAAGAAAAAGAGAGGTGGCAACTCTTTGTTGTTTGTGTGACTTGACCTCCCCCCAAAATTGGACGTATTATTATCCTGTGTCTAGCCCACCCTTTACTCTAGGGCCTCCCAGAGAGGCCAGCCCATCTCAGAAAATGCTGCAGCTAACTGGAAAGAGGATTCATACAGAAAACAACTCACTGGAAAAATAGTAATTATCACTGTACTTCAATAGAGTTCTGAACACACCTTTTGAATTGTCATCTTTGAAATAAGCAGGATGGTCTTGATTAGTACGTAGCCCACCTGGGGAAAGAAATCTCTTTTGGAAACGTTGACCAACCTCTGCAAAGCAAACAGGCCCATAATTTTCTATAGCATAAGCACAGTTGGTTGAAAACCATTTTATCTTTGCAAAGGATAGGCCTTCCCCTTCTTTGTGATTCAGCATTGCCCCCAAAGATTGCCACTTTCATGAATGCAGATTTATTTCTTGTACTCCAACACATATTTCCAGAGGATTCTTTCTGGCAATGTCCTTTTGTATCAAAATCTGGTGGTAAACAGCTTAGCCTGGCCTCAATAGCTAAGCCATCACAGTCATTCATCCCCAGCTGTGACCTCATTTTACTCCAGTTCTTTCCTTGCTTTACAATAAGTAGACTCTCAGACTGTGTCATTTTCCTTTTTGTTAACATGTTTCCCTAACCCCACAGCCTTTTTATGGAAACATTTAGGATTTCTACAGTTTAACAACAGATCTCTAATGTGTCTATAGATAGGGCCTAGTAGATTAACTTGGAATTCCTCAAAACTCAAGTCAGCCAGAGCTGTCAAGATCAATTAATATAACTTCAGGAGGAAAAACTGGCTTAATCCCAAATGATTGATGAGAACATTCCTCTATAAAACCTTTTCAATAGTAAGCCTCTATTTAAATGATAACACTCATTCAAGATAAAGTAAGGGCTTTTTGGAAAATCACATTCAAAAAGTTGTTAGTGGATAGCTTCAATAACAGTTCAAATGAAACAGGAGGAAAAAAAAAAAAAAACACCCTGCCATTTTAGATGCATGATGCATTCAGACCTGATGTTTGAAGAACTAGCTACTGCTAAATGACTTTTTCTATGAGGAAATTCTAATACCCATTGGATGGAAATTTCCAGAGATAAATGCCCATGTCTTCAATGAGAGTGTCGATTGAAATCAATGCTGTTTAGGCCAGTAGTCACCATTCTGAACTTCTTGAGATTGCCTGTCCTTTATCCTGCAGATGGGACACCCTTAGGTATGGCTTGAGCTACACTGACCTTGGCTACAGTTGTTGATCCAATCCTTATAATGTATCCAATTAGCATTTACTGAACACTTCCTGTAAACATGACATTCTGCTAGGCACCAAGGGAAGTAAGTAAAAGAAACCTGCCTCACAGCATCTGAAGCTGTTTAGAGAGATGACATACATAAAGTAACTATATGAGACTGGTTGACAGTTTAACACAACTGAGGAGTATCCTAAAGAAACACAGGAAAGCTGGGAGAATATCCTTCAGTATCTGTGCAGGATGTAATTGAATGACATTTTGTTCTTTGTTAACTGAACTTTACTGTTTCTATTTTGGGGCCCAGAAGATGTCACCATGGGGCTATTCCACTCCTCCCTTGTGTTTAAAGAGAACAGTGTGGTTGAGTTCAGGGATATTAAAGCCCCCCCAGGGGGGAGGGACTCAAGGTTCTAACAGGAGAGGTACTTTTTTGAGGCCTCTATTCCTGCAAACAAAAGTCCCCAGCATGTTTCCATCTATGACTGAATTTTTCTAATCCTCTCCTTAGGAAAAGTTATTCTAACACTCTCTAACCCTTTCTTTCAAAGACTTGGAAGAGCTATAATGGGTTTTCCTGCTTGAATACTTTGATTGCCAGTTAATTTCCTAATTTAGATCTAATTACTAAACTGCTTAAAAATTTAAGGCAAAGAGGCAACCACTTACTGACAAGCTTTCCATTTATCACCATGGTATCTGAGGACATGGCTCTTAGCCGAGAACAGAAACTTCCTCTTCAAACATAGAACAAACTATTCCTTGTCAGTGTGGCTCCCACAGATGTTTTCTTAGCCATCATCAACCAACTATGTTGCTATCTTCACATGTTAAAGTTAAGCAGTTTGAAGTCTTAAGACATGGGAGTAATTTCCAGGGTTAATGCTGCATAAAACAAAACTATAAATTGCACATATTTTCTGTCTGAGGAGTTTTACTATGAAGAAGGCTTTAATTCATTCATTTTGTTCCAACTCATTTGGTGACTTGGCTAATTGGTTCATCATTTTAAGTTTTTGCTTTTTTTTCCCACACTTTTGTTTGCAAGCGGAATGGCTGAGTTTGGGGTTTGTTTGTTTAATGGATAATGAACTTGAAAGTGGTCATGTTGTTAAAAAGTATCTGTTAGCTTAACTGATAGTTTCTTACCAAATGGCTGAGTTTGGGGTTTATTTGTTTAATGGATAATGAACTTGAAAGTGGTCATGTTGTTAAAAAGTATCTGTTAGCTTAACTGATAGTTTCTTACCAAAAGCAATGAAGAATCCAATTTTATCAACTTTGAAAACTGAGTAGTAGTGCATGTAACAAGTTAATGGAGAGGGAGTTTGAAAAATACCATACAGTGCTATTTATTGGTTTCTTAAAGCTGTGCTTGAAGGCTCTTTTCCATGCTTTCAAGGAATAGTGTAGATCACCATGTGGACCAGTGCCCCCTGGAGTTGTGCAGACAGGTAAAATGCTTTTCCCCCTTCTCATTTGGTATTTCTTCTCACATAATCCTAATTTGACTAAATACATATTTTATACAGCCATGAACTAACAGGAATAAAAAATGAGAGTTGTGTGCTTGATACTTCTCATTTTCCAAATTTCCAACAATAAGTAGGTAATATATAATCAAGAAAAAGTAGGAAATGTCATTTTAATACGTTCTAAAAATCCCATCTTCTTCAGTAAGCAAGGCATGATTAATTAGTCCTCTTTTGGTCTTGGCTTTCACTCTGCATCGACTTCAAGTCCCTACTCTGTGCCTAGACTGAGAATTTCCTCTCAATTTTTCACTTTCCATGCCACATGAGGCCTGGACAGGAGAGGTAAGCTGCAAAGGTAAGTAGGGGGGAAGGGCAGTCACTGGAAGGGCTCCTGGAGCTGAGTGAGGGTTGTTTTAAAGGTGAAAAAGATACCCAGGATGTTGAAGAAGGGAGGTCCTGGGACAACAGCAGTGCTGCTACCAGAGATCAACTAATACAGCCTGGTGCAGGTTGCGGGTGCTGGGAGAGAGTTTTTGTTTTTTTGAGATGGGGTGTCACTATGTTGCCCAGGCTGGTGTTG